ATCGAACCCACATCCCCTGCATTGGAAGGCAAATTCTTTACCACTGGACCACCAGAGAAGTCCCTATTTTTAGTTTTTTAAGGAACCTCCATACTGTTTTCCATAGTGGCTGCACCAATTTACATTCCCAACAGTGCAGGAGGGTTCCCTTTTCTCCACACCCTCTCCAGCATTTATTATCTGTAGACTTTTTAATGACAGCCATTCTGACCAGTGTGAGGTGGTACCTCATTGTAGTTTTGATTTGCATTTCTCTAATTATTAGTGATGTTGAGCACTCTTTCATGTGTTTGTTGGCCATCTGTGTGTCTTCTTTGGAGAAATGTCTATTTAGATCTTCTGCCCACATTTTGATTGGGTTGTTTTTTTGGTTTGTTTGTTTTTTAAATTAATTAATTAATTTATGGCTGCATTGGGTCTTTGTTGCTGTGTGCAGGCTTTCTCTAGTTGCGGTGAGCGGGGGCTACTCTTCGTTGTGGTGCGAGGGCTTCTCATTGTCGTGGCTTCTCTTGTTGTGGAGCATGGACTCTAGGCACGCAGGCTTCAGTAGTTGTGGCACGTAGGCTCAGTAGTTGTGGCTTGCGGGCTCTAGAGCTCCGGCTCAGTACTTGTGACGCATGGGCTTAGTTGCTCCATGGCATGTGGGATCTTCCCTGGCCAGGGCTCGAACCTGTGTCCCTTGCATTGGCAGGCAGATTCTTAACTGCTGCGCCACCAGGGAGGCCCTGTTTGTTTGTTTTGTTATTGAGCTGTATGAGCTGGTTATATATTTTGGAAATTAAGCCCTTGTCAGTTGTATTGTTCGCAAATATTTTCTCCCAGTCTGTAAATTGTCTTTTTGTTTTATTTATGGTTTCCTTTGCTGTGCAAAAGCTTATAAGTTTGATTAGGTCCCATTTGCTTATTTTTGCTTTTATTTATTATTGCCTTGGGAGACTGAACTAAGAAAACATTGCTCTGATTTATGTTAGAGAATGTTTTGCCCATGTTCGCTTCTAGGAGTTTTATGGTGTTCTGTCTCATATTTAAGTCTTTAAGCCATTTTGAGTTTATTTTTGTGTATGGTGTGAGGGTGTGTTCTAACTTCATTAACTTACACTTGGCTGTCCAGCTTTTCCAACACCACTTGCCAAAGAGATTATCTTTTCTCCATTGTATATTCTTGCCTTCTTTGTCAAAGATTAATTGACCATAGGTGTGTGGGTCTATTTCTGGGCTCTTTTTTCTGTTCCATTGATCCATATGTCTGTTTTTGTGCCAATACCATGCTCTTTTGATTACTATAGCTTTGTAGTATTGTCTGAAGTCTGGGAGGGTTATGCCTCCAGCCTTGTTCTTTTTCTTCAGGATTGCTTTGGCAATTCTGGGTCTCCTATGGCTCCATGTAAATTTTAGGATTATTTGTTCTATCGATAGTTCTGTGAAAAATTTCATGGGTAATTTGATAGGGAGAACATTAAGTCTGAAGATTGCTTTAGGTAGTATGGCCATTTTAGCAATATTAATTCTTCCAATGCAAGAGCATGGGATATCTTTCCATTTCTTTAAATCATCTTCAACTTCTTTTATCAGTGTTTTATAGTCCTCAGTGTATAAGTATTTCATCTACTTGGTCAGGTTTATTCCTAAGTATTTTATTCTTTTTTGATGTGATTTTAAAAAGGATTTTTCTGCTGTTTCATTGTTAATGTAAAGAAACGCAACAGATTTCTGCATGTTAATGTTGTATTTTGCTACCTTGCTGAATTCGTTTGTCAGTCCTAGTGGTTTTTGTGTTATGTGCAGATGACATGATACTATATATGGAAACCACTAAAGTCCTAGGAGTCTTTAGTGGTTTCCATATATAGTATCATGTCATCTGCACATAATGACAATTTTACCTCTTCCCTTCCAATCTGAATAACTTTTATTTCTTTTTCTTGTCTGATTGCTCTGTCTAGGACTTCCAATATCATGTTGAATAGAAGTGGTGAGAGTGGGCATCCTTGTCTTGTTCCAGATTTTAGTGGGAAGGCTTTCAACTTTTCACCATTGAGTATCATGTTGGCTGTAGTTTTGTCATAAATAGCTTTTATTATGTCAAGATATGTTCCCGCTATACCCACTTTGGTAACATTTTTCCTTTTTTTTTATTATGAATGGATGTTGAATTTTATCAAATGCTTTTTCTGCATCTACTGAGATGATCATGTGGTTTTAGTCATTTCCTTTGTTGATGTGGTGTATCACATTGATTGATTTGTGTATGTTGAACCATCCTTGTGACCCTGGGATGAACCCAACTTGATTGTGGTCTATGATCTTTTTTATGTGTTGTTGGATTTGGCTTGCTAGTATTTTATTGAGAATTTTTGCATCTATGTTCATGAAAGACATTGGCCTGTAATTTTCTTTTTTGGTAGTATCTTTGTCTGGTTTTGGTAGTATCTTTATCAGGGTGGTGGCTTCATAGAATGGCTTTGGGAGTGTTACCTCTTCTTCAGTCTTTTGCAAGAGTTTGAGAAGGATCAGTATAAGTTCTTCTTTGTATGTTTTGGTAGAATTCCTCAGTGAAGCCATCAGTCCTGGACTTTTGTTTGCAGGGAATTTATTTTATTATAGATTCTATTTCACTTCTAGTGATCGGTCTGATCAAATTATTTATTTCTTCTTGATTCGGTTTTGGTGGGCTGTAGGTTTCTAGAAACTTGTCCGTTTCTTCTAGGTTGTCCAATTTGTTGGCATCGCCTCTTCTTATAAGGGCACTAATCCCATTCATGAAGGCTCTGCCCTCATGACCTAATTACCTCCCAAAGGCCCCACCTCCAAATACCATCACATTGGGATTAGGGTTTCAGCACATGAATTTGGGGGTCACACAAACATTCAGTCCATTGCATTTGCATACCTTGGCAACTGGAAGATTTTATCCTTAGGTATGACTGAGACTAGCTTTGTAGTTTTAGAAACTGTGTATGCAAGGGCGTCTTCAAAAAGATACCCACAAGCTTGGTGATAAGGTTAAACTTGTAAAAATCAATTCATGAGTAGATGAGTTACATGTCTATTCAAAAGGCTTCCCAAAGGTGGCCAAGCCCCAAATACAATGCAAAAAGCCAAAATCTAAGCACCTAGCTCTTTGACTTTGGCCTGTGGCTCTGTGCCTCTATTTATACTGCTCCCTAGCTTAAAGAAAAATAATAACAGTAGCTAATGTTATTTAGACGTCACTCAGTACCAGGCATTGTTGTATATTACATCCTTACAACAAACTGCAAGGGAGGCAGTATTACCATGCCAATTTTACAGATGAGGAAACTGAGGTTTGGAGGGGTTATGTAATTTCCTAAGGTTTCAGAGAAAGTAAGCTCCAGAGCCTGTACTCTTAGCCTTGATACTGTGCTGCCTCCCTGTGTCCTGCTCTGTGCTTCTCTTAGCTATTATTGGACAGGCCATGTGATCTTCCTTCAGTCAGGGAGCAATATCACTGGAGATCTAGAAGACACTAAAAAAAACCCACCTAAATGACCAGACCAGAGATCATGGGCACAGTTGTACTACAATGTGTGTGGCCACTGAGTGGTTTTCAAATGCTACCAGCATTCATCTTGATGTTGCCAGTGTCTAAAGGACCAGGCTGAGTTGCCTCAGTTCTGGGAGGGACCACTGAGTTGGGCTTTTTTTTGACGAAGCCAAATTCTTGAGGAAAGACTTGTTCTTTCAGGGCTCAGTGGGATTAGTCAGGTCTGGGTTCTCAGGTGCTCAGAGAAACCTGGTGGAGGAGAAAGGGGATGGGCAGCTAGCCCCATGGTGTGGAGGCCTACCTGGAACCAGATGAGATTCCTGCTTGTGAAGGGTTCCTGTGGTTCTGTTTGGGCTCACAAGAAGCTATTTCCAGGGGCTGCTGAAGGCCTGATCCATGCTTTGGAGGGGGAGGCCTACTGTAAGGACCAGAGAGGGTAGGGGGAGTATATATCAGTGGGAGGTCACCAGCAGGGGGCAGCTGACCCAGCTCAGTGATGGTCTCAAAGCAGCTGGTAGAGCAGAGGTCATGGCAAGAGGAGTAATTAAAAAAGGAAAACCCAAGAGATGTTACAGAGCACACAGTACACTTGAAATGTTTCCTGAGAATCTCTCAAAAAAGCAGAAGATGGGGCTGGGGAAGATAATGTCACATTGAAGTGGTTAATTTCCAGCTATTAGAAGCTTGTGCTATAATAGTCTGGGTATAAAAAGGAAAAGTATTATTAGCCAAAGTCATGGTCTGGTGAGGCCTGGGTTGAATGGTTACAGCTGAAATGTAAATTAGATAAGCACATTTATCCAACAAATCAAGCTGTCGGCTTTAGGTGATTTGACTTGAGAGGAATTTGCTTTGACCATTTTCTGAATTTACAGTTTTTCAGTTTTTAAAGTGGCAGCAGCATACTGGAAATGCCCACAGAGTAGAGTTTGTTTTCTTTCTTTCTTTGAATCTTTCTTTCTTTGAATCTGTGATTTATTTCAGTCAGAATGGACACCAACACCTTTTAAGAGCAATGAAAGACATTTTCACATATTGAGGTATGGGGAAGTCATTCTGGCTTATACATGGATTAACTTGATTTTATGCTAACACAGCCTGTTTGTGGCCTATCAAACAAACATTGTACATCTGCTTTAATTATTAAAGAAAAGGACACATTGACCAGAAGTAAAGAATGTCCATGTTAAAAATAAAGATCAAATGCCTCCCTTCCTGGGATGCCAATGCTAGTACTCATTTGAATGATAAGACTCCCTTCCCAGGTGCCAAGGCCATACTGACTTACTGTGTATGTGCTGATCTGTTTGTTTTGTTTTTAAACCTTGAAGGAATGTATCCCTGACTTATTTGGTTTTCTTTGCCCTGACAAGATACAAAATTGTGCTGAAAACCATGGTTCTCTAGAGCAGTTCCTCAGTTATCCGAGAGGCTGTCTCCTGGGCTATAGTCCTCAGTTTGGCTCAAGTAAAACTCTCTTCTATTCCTATTACAGGTTGGGACCTGGGACCTGGGACCCTTTGCTGCAGTACTTGCACCTGGATGAATATCTCCTCGACCAGCAGAATACAAGAAACTCTAAGGAACTAAAAATAACTGCCCACATGTGCAGTTGGGGCAAAGTATGAACAATGAGGTACAACAAGGCCAAAACCCAGCTGCCACTTCTGAGGTGCCAGGAGCAAAGGCAGGGTCCTGCGCATGATCCCTACAAGGGGGTGGGCAGACCACCTAAGCTGCCCCTCTGGCCTACCCACCGATCCACCCCCCCCACCCCATTTAAGGGACCAGCTTGTCACCCCCTCAGGGAGTGCGCAAGGACACCTGTTACATGCTTTTGCTCCCTTGTGCTGCAGCGATAAAGCCTTACCTGAATTCCTTGTCTGGCCTCATCCATTTCTATTGATTAAAGAATCCAAAAACCCAGATCGGTCAAAGGAGTTTGCTGTCGTTCATGAGATGAGACCCAGATTGATCTGGATTCAGAGCAGCTTTCACACTGAGGACCTATCAGTTTGCTACTATGAGTCCACATAAGCGGGCACCACGTGGGGGTCTTGGGAAAGCCCCTAGAGAGCCAGAGCCAGCTTTCCAGGCATGTGTGAACTGTGCACTCCTACACGACCCCACACTCAAAAGGGCCTCACACTTGGTTTAATGCTCTGCGTTTGCCATCTTGAAGTTCTTAATAATTTTATCTTTGAACATCTTTCTGTTTGTCAGCAGGGTCTGATGGGTGCCACATGCATGTGAGCAGAGGAGTTAAAAGCAACGTGTGTGCGGCGTTCTTTGCACATAGCGTCCCTAATGTCCTCATCAGGCGTGCTCAAGGCAAATCCTAGGTGACCGTTAGGCCTGTGATTCAGTGGGGGCAGGGGTGGGAGTGGGGGAGGGCTGACATTCTAGAGAGGCTACACTTTCCATTCCAACTGAAACTTTCTTCCAATGCAGGAAGGAGGCAACGGACAAGGATCCCCATCACGTCCTTCTTACACGTGTTACTTCCCTGTATCAGCCTATCAGACAACCACATCCGCTGAAAATGACGACCTAGATGGAAAGGGAAAGCTCAGGCCACCCACAGCTCCTTCTCTTTTTATTTCTTTACTCATCAATAAGCTGAAGGCTGAGAATGTTGGTAGGATATGTGTACACCCATTAAGAAATAAAAACAGTTGAGTTAGTTTTGTGTAGGATTTCCATTGTTCAGGTAAGAACACAATACTTATTCATGTACAAGCAATGAAATACGAATTGTGTCATATCAGTGATTTCCTTATTAGTTAGTGCTCTTATATTTGCGTTTAAAATGTGTATTGCATAACATAAAAATGAATGGTAAAAAATGGTCCATTTAATGGCACTTTTTCTCACTTTTTGGGCCCCTGCACTTTCGTTTTGCACCGGGCCCTGGATGTTATGTAGCTGGCCCTGCAGATACCTTAGTTTGGACTGAAAAGTCATCTCCGCCTTTTCCTGAACTCCGGGTCCAGCTCAGCCCGGGCTCTGGGGCTGAGACACAGTGCCTGCTCTCCACCGCACCCAGGGCCATGTCCACAGCTTCCGTCTCCCCTTCTGGGTTCTCTCGTTTCCTGCTTAGTCCTGGCCCCGTGAAATTTCATCACCAGTCCCTCAATTGTATTAACCATCACACTTTATATTGTTTGTTTCGTTTTCTGACTCCTTTGCATGGAGTTTCTCTTTTTTTCATTGCTGTATGTATGTACTTAGCACATGACAAGTGCTCAAAACACCACTTTTTCACTTTTTATTATGAAAATTTCAGGCATACACAAAAACAGAGATGACAATTTAATGAATCCTTGTGGACTATTGCCGGCTTTGACTACACTATCCTGCCATTCTTGTTTCACCTCAACAATTTTAGTCTTTCTCTTTCGTGTTGTTGGATTCCTTCAAATGCCTTGTATCTCGGTGGACAACTCCCACTTATGAATGAAGAGCTATATTGCTTCCTGAAGAGAGTTGGGTGGGTTTCCTTTGCAGTTGGGTGGGTTTCCTTCGCAGTCGTGTGGGTTTGTTTATTCAAAGGCTTACGGTCCCCTCCGTGGGAGGGGTAACTTTTGTCTCTGAGGAAGTGAACGGGGTCTCTCCATCAGCTTCCCCTTCAGGTGTGTGAGTGGGGAGCTGGCAGGCTGCCTGGGGACGTAGGCAAAAATAAGCAATACTGACTCTAGGGGTAGGGAGCTTCAGTGTCTATCATGCCTGCACAGGGCTGTCTTTCCTTATTTCTCCTCCTGGTTATTCTAGAGGTCCATTCTTTTCTTCAGCTCCATCTTGACCCCGCCCCCCCCCTCCCCGCCGCAGTATCCTTACCGTGGGCCCTCTACAGCCAAATCACTTCCACTGTTTAGAGTAATTCTTAGGGCTTCAACTGGGGCATAGCTACTCTGTGCCTGTCGGCACGGCAATCCCTCGGATTGCTGCCCAGAGCACTCTTGTTCTTGATACCTACTGACTTTAAGCCCAAAGCCGCTCTGGGATGGAGAGGAGGTGAATGCGTGTGCTTAGGCTCCATATTGAATGGGAAACTCTAACAAATATTTTTGGCATAATTAAATTTTTTTTTCTCCCGCTTAAGTTCAGAGAGTGTGGCTTCTTCATCTGTGGTCTCCAGGGCTTATCCAGAGGCTCGTGGGCCTGGGTCCCAGTTTTCCAGGGTCTTCCTCCAAGCTGAGGCAGAGCATCAGCCTCCATTTCAGCTCCTCTGAGTTTCAGCTCCGCGGGGCCCCTCCTCCAGGCATGTAAGTTGTAATCATTCCGACCTCTTCCTTTATTCCCCCCAGGCTTCGGGGTGGGAGCTGTGTCTTATCTGTATGATACTTAGCGGTCTCTCTGTACCCTTTCAGTTGCCTAGTGAACAGCTTCATTCCTAGTTACCAATTCTTTATATTAAAATTTCTGTTCTAAAAACTGGCGTGGTTTCTGTCACCTGACTGGACCCTGATTGATACAATAGTTGCCTAAAATACCATCAACTCAGTGTACCAAAGGAACGAAAGATGCCTTGGCCCAGGGCAACGGTGAAGATTGAAAGTTAATGCTCTTGTGCTCCTCCAGACTCAGAGAAAGTTGCATTTTATGCTTAAAAATGAACAAAGAATGTAAAGGTACAAAAGTATTGTCTATTGACATATGGAGGATGGGATTTTAAAAAAAAGTACAGACTTTGGAATCAGTTATATCTGGGTTTGAATCCAGGCTCTGCGGCTTACACACCCAAATGACTGAATTTCTTTAGAGTCTCAGTTTCTGTATTTGTTAATCAGGGATTGAACAGGTTCCTTGCAGGGCTGTTGAAAGAATACATTGCGATAATGGATGTAAAGTGCTTAGCACAGGGCCTGGCACAGAGTTAAAACTCAATGAATGGGGTGGATGTAGGATGTAGGATATAGCACGACTCAGTGATGCAGTGGAAAGGGGACGGACTAGAGCTCATAAGACAGTTTTAGTCCTGTGTCTACAGCTAACTAGCCCCCCTTTCCTCACAAGTAATACCAAGTTTGAGCTGCGTCAAACCAGGTTAGGTTCCCTAATGCTGGTTTCATCTTACAGGCCTGCAAGAAAATGAGGCAAATAATGAGTCTGTCCTATATTTTTCATAAAGCTAAATTATTCAGTTTCAAGGATTATCCTTTGTTTTGAGATTTTGCTCTTACTATTTGGGTGCTGATGTCCTGTTTTAATGAAATAATAGTATAGTAGGGTATTTTTTCCCATGTTCTCACTGGACAGACGGGATGAGGGAATTCTCTGGGGTCTGTTTTATAAGGGCACTAATCCCATTCATGAGGGTTCCAACCTCATGTTCTAATCACCTCCCCAAAACCCCACCTCCAAAAACCATCACACTGGGGATTAGATTTCAACATATGAACTGGGCGCAGGGGGCATTCTGTTCTTTAAGTCTGCATCCTTCTTAGAAACTGTACATCCTTTTTATTTGTCAGATAAAGGTGAAATCCTAATGTGTGGTGAACTTACCCCATGGAAATTCAACCACACCAGGAAAGGCAGCACAGCAGAGGGATGAAGGCTCAGGTTTTGAAGTCAGGCACATCTGGGCTCAAATAGCAGTTCTGCTATTTACCAGCTATATGACCTGAGTCTCAGTTTCTTCATCTGTAAAATGGGGATAATATTAAAACTTAGCTCATGGAATTGTTATAAAGGAGAATTGAGATGTACATGAAGTCTTAGTATAGTGTGTGGCATATAATAAGTGCTTATTAAATGTATGAGTATGTATACATTATTCTGTGTGTGTGTGTATAAATAAAGATTTAGGCTCTATTCCACACCTGTCTTTGTAGATTGGAAACTTAGAATGAAGAGAGACACATTTGCTTAGAATTACTTAAGAAAAATCACAAGTGTTCATTATACAATTTCAAAGCGAATAAGTAAATAAATAAGTAAATAAGGAAACCATTGCTTCAGTGTTATACAGTGTCCTGATGGGATGCTGGACATAGTTCTAAGACTTTACAGCTATTAACTGACCTGATCCCCATAATAACCCTTAGGAAGTGACCATTACTATCCCGGATTTACAGACGAGGCACAGAAAGTTTAAACAACTTGTTCAAGACCACACAGCTAATAAGTAGTAGAGCCAAGAATCAAACCGAGGCAGTGCGGCCACGAGTCTATACTCTTCACCACTGTGGGGGGGGGGGAAGTGCTTAATTCAGCCTTAAGTACAATCACAGGCATCTCTAGATCTGCACGGTTTCTACAGCGGCCACTAGCTATACGTGGATATTTAAGATAACTGAATTTAAATAAAACTAAAAATCCAATTCCTAGGTTGCACTCACCAGGTTTAACGTGCTCAATAGCCACACGTGGATAGTGGCTGCCGTTTGGGCAGCACAGACATGGAACATTTCCATCGTTGCAGAAAGTTCCATTGGACAGCACTGTCGTAGATAACTCTGGAAAGTATTAACCAAACATAAAAGACTCAAACTCAACAGGCATCACATGGATTTTCTCTTTAATTAAATACCACTTCATAATGCTATTTGCACATAGCACATACATTTTTTTGAAAAATAAGACATGCCATACTTTAGTCACTAAATCGACAAAATGTGGGCTTCCACGTAGAATATATTCTAAGGTGACTTGATTTACACAGCTTCTCAGAGAAACACACAGTAAAATTTTTTGCCTGTCAGCCAGTGTTGGACCAGATTTGGAGTTCACAAGGCTGCGGGTTGGAGATTCCCCAACACTACCCTGATGGACATCTTGTCTCCACACTGTGCCATCAAGCTGCCTCATTTCCACCAGAAGAGCAATGGAGACGTCAATCCTCCCTCGCCTACCCAGTGTTCGATTCCATCCTGCAAAACCCTCGCGTGATCTGAGCCTTCACGTGATGGCATGTCAGACCCTGCATCTTCGCGGGGGGGCTGGGGGCGGGTGGAATGGGGCTTAGGTCCCTTCAAAAGCTGCAGGCACCAATCTGTGAAGAACTGCTTTTAATGTCTGATTAGGGACCCCAGAATCCCAGCCTTTAGAAGAGGGGAACAGAGTGGGGTGGGGAGAGGAAGCCAGAGAACAAGTGGAAAGCTGAAACCCAAGTTTGGTGACCTTGCTGTGAGAAGGGAGATGGCGGCAGGATACGTATTGTTGCCTGGAGCCTTCGAGAGGGCTTGGCGAGACGTGAGAGCCATGAGAAAAATAAAGAGTCAGGGCTGTGAGTGGAAAGCTGATGTCCTTGTGCCCCGCCCTAACAGCAAGTGCCGCTTATCTGCCACCAGCAAACCGTCCATTTACACTCAGGGACAAAGACTGGGAGATGCCAGCCCAAGACAGAGTCAGGATTCTGGGGACCATGGCTCCACATCAGCCGTTCTTCCCGGGACCCAGGTCACCTACCCTGGCTTCCACTCCGCAGCCACCATGCAACTCTGCGCAACCTTCCTGTACTCAGCCTCACGGGATGGCGCTGTTGCCCCAAACCTGAAGGCAGCTCCTGGATGGCACTGAACCCATGATCATCAGCTGACCTGAGATTACAATGTGCTTTTATCCATTCATCACTGTTGCCTGACTCCAGGTTAAAAGACCCAACACAAAACCAAGGGAAGGGGGCAGAGTAAGGCTGGGAGCACATAAGATACCAAATGATCACCTGGGTTTGACATATTTAAATGGCCTCCCCGCTCACCTTCCCTTTATCCACTCTGCCCTCACACCCCCTCCCGGCCCACGTTAGAAACATCACTGGGAAAATGTGAATAGCAGCGAAATTGGATTTTAATTCCCCTTTTGTGTTTTGTTCCTGCAGCTGTGCAGCCCGACCTTGAAAAGTGACTTTTATTACCCCTTCAGAGTCTTCCTCCGAACTGCATAGGGCCTCCTTTCCAATCAGTGCGGATCCTGCCATTCTCTTCCTCATGAACCATCAATGGCTCCCATGTTCTCTAGGATATGTTTAAACTCCTCGGCCAGGCCTTCCAGTCCCTCCATGATTCTACCTCCACTGCTTATCTTTCCAGGCTCATTTCCCATTACCTACCCTGGCTCTTCCTTTGCCACCCGCCTCAACCCATCTCTGTGTCTTTGCAAATGCTGACCCCTCTGCCTGGGGGTGATCACCCTACTTTCTATGCTTTGCCCAAATCTTAGCTAGATTTGCCACCCATCAATGAGTGGAGCCTAAATCATCTCCAATTCTGAATACCCAGTTCTGGGCTCAGGGCCTGACCTTTCATAGTTGACCAGGTATTTGTGTCTCTCACGGCTGGCTTGGAGTGCAGAAACCAGGTCTTATTACTTGTAGCCCTCACTGTCCAAATGCTTAACACATAGTAAGTGCCTCATAAATACTGTTTTGATACCTATTCTAAAGGGAAAAAAAAGTCATAGTCTGTTGCCTTCTTAGGCATGTAAGACACAATACAGAAGTGGTTATCACAGGCAACAGATATCAGTTTGGAAGTCAAGGTACTAAACCAAATCAGTATGAAGCACAATCCATAAAGGTTAATGATCTATCAGCACTGGTCTATCAACACTGTTATCTTGCCGGTTAGTTCAAGGCTGCCTAGGGAAGCAGGAAGCGCAGTTCTAAGAAGTAATCACTGGATGCAGAAATGCCATGGGTCCTATGCGGATTATTCGGCCTGCCAAATGAACCCCCAAGAGGAAACAAGGAATGGTAATTCCAACTTTCCAGCAGGGGTGTGTCAGGGTTTCAGCAGACTGTCTCTCTCAGTTATTAGGCTTTCAAGGTGTGTGATACAGGCAGGATTACCTGCCTCAGGATCACCTGAGCTGCCAGTTAAGAATGCAGACTCTTAGGCCCGGTCCCAGTCCCACTTAATCAGAGTACCTGTGGTTGGGGTGTAGGAATCTGTATTTTAAATAAACTCCCTAGGGGATCCTTATTTTCATTAAAGTTTGCAGACCTTTACCTGCCATTCTCAAAAGCATACAGTCAGTCTAGGGTAAGACAATCGTGTACGCAGCCAGCCAGCCAGCCAGCAGCAGCCCCATTTCTGAGCATGCCTACTTCTTCCAGATGTATGTGCACGGGGATGAGGACCCAAAGAGTCTATCGACCCCAAGGAAGTAAACCAATGACTCAAGCTTGGTTTGTCAATCTATAAGGGAGAGGAGAGAGGAGAGGTGAGTGAGGCTGTCTCTGAAATGAGCACCCCTCGTTTTCCCAGAGGACCCTGGTGTGCAGGAAAATACACATACAACAGCCAGATTGTCTGTCCGTCCTTTATAGGTGATGCAATCACCTCTTGCAAAATGAAAGGGATTTTTCTCCCTTTATGGGCTGAAGGCTCATGACCCCTGCTCCTGTCTTTCTTATTCTTCCCCTTCTTCTCTTAATTTCTCAGTTCCTTTGAGGGGAAAGAAAGCAACCAAGTAATTCACAGAACCAAAACCAAATTCGTTTTCAGAGTGGATCCAGTATAAATACATCGAGCACACCCTCACCGGGGAGGCACAGACCATCAGAAAGCAGATGTGCATTTCCTACAGGCAAGTGACAGGATGTTACACCCAGGGCTGGTGCACCATGCCATGTGAAGGCGACACAAAGGTTATCTCAAGTACAGAATCAAGAGGGAGGTGGGTAGAGATCAGGTCTGCACATAAGGTGAGGGAAGACTAGATTTGGAGGTTTCCAGCCTTTCAATGCATTTGGAAAGTAAGGGCAGAATCTCTGCCTTGCTTTAGCTCTAAAGAATGTGGCCACATTTGGTCACTGACTGGGGAAACCCAGTTCCCATCCTCAAGGATGACAACGGCTTTCCAAATCTCATTGGGCTAAATCAGGCAGAGGCTGAACTCTGTACTGCCCACCTAGAATACTGCTTTCAGCCCCCCACCCCAGCCCCACCCTCAACATCTGAAAGTTCCAGGACCAAGATAATCTACGCTTTGCCAGAGACAAAGTCTTTTCAAGATCCCCGTCCACAGAGTTCTTGGATTAAAAAAATAAGACTTGAAAGGCAAGTTTTAGAATTAAGGGTTGAACCGCTATCAGCATGGCTTGAGCAGCTGTAAATGGAGAGGAGGTGAGTCTCCTTCAAGGTGGGCTCACTCCTTCTTGGTGTGTTCCAGGACGCGATAGGGAACCCCAGAGGCGCTTCTAGAGCCATGTTCTTCCTGCATGATGGGCAGCGTGGCGGGAGCATAGATCTCAGAAATGTTGTCATTGTTTTCCAGGGCCCCGTAGGAAAAAGAAGCTTTGAGGTCAGGCTGGACGGTCATCCCTTTGTCATGCATGTTTTGCATACCTGAAATGAAATCCATTTCCCCCAAATCATTATGCAGTGGGGCCAAAGGAGGCTGCATCTCATCCTCCTCTATCCCACCACAGACTAATCACAGTGCTCAGGAGCTAAGCATGTGCACTGTCAACTTCCTGAATGGTTTGGATTGAACAAAAAAAGAGCGCCCATAAATATACACTAGAAATATTATAGTTGCTAAGCAACAAAGGATGAATCTTCAGGAAATAAGCACACAGACCAGCCACTGTCAAAAGAAACCATTGGCTTAGAATGAGGTGGGAATGTCCGGGCCACAGGGCAAGTGGAACCAGCACTGTGTTGTGAACGTGGTAGATGCCAACACTTTTCGCTGAATTAAATCAGGATCCAGAAAACTTCATTATACTGTTGAGAGAAGACGAAAACTTTTGTGTCATGGATACATGATGGTGACACATGTATTATGATGCTCAGAGGGAGAGTTTTGACATTAACATCCCTGATCCACATATGGAGTAAGGTGCGATTTTGCTTATTACCTCTGGGCACATTAATGTCGGATTTCTACTTACATTTGAGGGCAAAGACTTTAGTCATTAATTCCTTTAAATGTAGTCTACAATTCCCCTAGTTAAGTAGGACCTGGCCTCCTCTGAGGCCAGTTCTTTTCCTGGTAGGGAATTAAGACCCTTCAAATTCTCTTGCCCCCTGGTTGAGTAATAAAAACACTGAATGCAAATTATCTTCCATGAAACCATGATGATAATAACAGCTGACATCTGACTGCTTCCTATGCCTGACGCACCGGGCTAAGGGCTTTAAATAGTAATAGTAACAGCAGCAATAATGATAATGGCTGATGAGCACTGAGCATTTAGTTGGTGGCAGACACTGCTCTAAATAGTTACAAAGTTTTATCTCATTTGATTCGCACAACTATTGATTAGGAAAATGAGGCAGTTGGAAGTTAAGGAACTTGCCTGAGGTCGCCAAGCTAGCAAGTGGCAGCTCTGGGGTGCAGACTCAGGTGGTTTAAATTCTGAAGCCCACACTCTTAACCAGAATGCTGTGTGGGCTCCCTATAGACCTTAATCCCCCCAAATCCTATGACAGAAATATGCTACTATCCTCCTTTTCCAGAGAAGAACACAGAGATTCAGAGAAGTAAAGTAACTTGCTCAAGGACACACAGCTAATGAGAGACACAGCTGGAATTTGACACCAAAGCCCATGCTCTTATCTACTCTGCAAATGGCCTGGGAAGACCCAATCTGTGGAAGGGCCTTTGCTTCCACATTGCACAAGCCTTGGCTGATGGGAATTTTTTTTTTTTTTTGCAGTACGCGGGCCTCTCACTGTTGTGGCCTCTCCCGTTGCGGAGCACAGGCTCCGGACGCGCAGGCTCAGCGGCCATGGCTCACGGGCCCAGCCGCTCCGCGGCACGTGGGATCCTCCCGGACTGGGGCACGAACCCGTGTCCCCTGCATCGGCAGGCGGACTCTCAACCACTGCGCCACCAGGGAAGCCCGGCTGACGGGAATTTGAAGGGTACAGTTTAAGAGTCTGTGGTTTAGATTTTGGGGAGGGAATTGGGAGGAGATGAGGGGATGCCTATTCCTCAGGGAAGAGAGTTGGCTTACCAGGCATAGTTTAGCTTTGTCAACGTTCCCCAGCCAAAACCCACCAGGAATACACCCATAGTCTAACAAATTTGGGTTTCTTGACTCATTTCAGTGAAGGAGGTGTACGTCACGGGGAGCTGTTTCAGTAAGAGGGTATTAGAAGGACTTACTACAGAATTTGGGTTGTGTTAGGTGATTTCAGGAGGGTTTAAGGAAGCAGGGCTTTGCTTTGGATTAGATGCTATCAGGAAGTGGGGATAATTCTATAACTGGGGATCTTAATGATTGTTATCTAGAAGGAACGAAGACTAGATGGAGACTAAAGCTGTGATTGGTAAAGAAGCAGCAGTCACTCATGTGAGGGGGATGGTTGGTCTTTTTATGGTTTGGACAATGTTCATGTTTGTCTGTGTTTGGACATGACAATGGCATGGTCCTGTTTGTGTCTTGATCCATCACAGTCCCAGAATGACCTTGTGTGATGTTGATGTTCTGTGAAATGGTCTATGTTCAGCCAGGAACACCAAGGCCCAGCTGTGAGAGCCAGGCCAGCTGTTTTTCTCCTTCTCATTTTCTAGAAGTCTTCCAGGTGCTAGAATTATTTCAAGCCTCTTCTAACTATGGCGTGTAGTTAATTTTCAGAACTTGAATGCCTCTTGAACCGTGACTACTAGTTGGTTGTGAAGATATCAATCTGGTTAGACCCAAAGCCAGGGAGGTCCTGATGCTGACCAGGGAAACCAAGCAGCTGGAAAAGCGTCTCTGTTTAAGAGTTTTCTTCTTCTTATTTTACCTGACATCAGGTCAAACAAGTGTTTGAAATTTTCACAGTCTTTTTTCAAGTAAAAACAAAGTGAAACCAAATTCAACCAGGCATCTACCAGGTCCCAGACATTGTGCAAGGGGCCTTTAACATATTATCCCACTACCCTGGGAAAAGGAATCCCAATTTACAAGTGAGGGTCAGAGGCCTTGGGAGGTCCAGGCACACGCCCAAGGTCACTCAGCAGGTAGGTGGTTGAGAGCTGGGATTTGAATCCAGGTCATCTGAACTCCAAGCCCACGCTCAGCTTCAAAGCACAGAAGCCAGGCCTACTCAGAAGTCCTGACATGCCGTGGCATGAGGGCAGGTCTCCTTTCTCCAACATCCAACTTCCCACCGGTCACAAGGCACAAAGAGGAAGCGAGAGCCACGTCCACAAACAGATCACAGAACGCGGATACCTAAGATTACCTTAGGTTACCTTCTATCTTCTACCAGAAAACACATCTGCATATACGCAAATACTTATATAGATGTATACACATACACGGTTTATAAACACACAAACACACAGGTACATACACATACTTGCACACACAGAGTTGACACCTCACCTATCTGGAATTCAGCTATCCAGCGCCCTCATCTATCCGGAACACAGCCGAGAAACAAGGAAGTAAGCAAAAAAGGCATCTGAGCAGCCAGATTAGATGTTTCAAAAGTCCATGCACTAAAGCTCATGCACTTAACTCGCAGGAGAAACCTTAAGGCCCCAACTCAGAGCTTATTTATTTTAATTTTATACATGATTCGAACAACTTGGGTCAAATGAGAAGATTGACACGGAGCTGCTATACACAGGCAGGCTGGTAACAGCAAGAATGACAGACAACAGCTTAATAGCAAGAGATGAAGAAATAATATAAAAAGTAGACACATAAACCCTGGGGCCATTTAAATCATGGGCACCTTGGTCAGCCCTGAGAACACACCTGCCTCCCGAGTACTTTATTAAGTAGTATTCTACTCCATCATTGTGACTGTCTTTTGTTCACAAGACTGTCTTAATGGAGGGTGGGAGATTATGCTTTGGAGAGAGTTCCATCTTATATATCTAAAATAAAAATTAAATTTGAGTTAAAGAGTGAAAGCTAGGGGCCGCTAGTATCCTATAGAATTTAGGTCAGCAAATCTAGATGGGGCTGCCCAACATCTTAACTTTCTCATCTGAATCCCTTGAGGCTGGAAAGTGCTCTCCAGTTCTCTACAAGCCCCATCACTCCCTTTTGTGCAGTACTCAACTGATTCACACATTTTCGTTCCTGCCATTTGAACTTGTGCTTCTCAGTGTGAACCCTGAGCTCCCTGGGGAACTAGGCTCTCCAGAACAATCCACTCCCTTGTGGAATCTAAGGAGTGAGGTTGTGGTATTTGAATTTCATTCACCCTATTTTCCTTCCCCTCTCTGATCATTCCATTCCACTGAGATGAACTGGATTTTTCCTTTTGCAGGCATGAAGCCTGGGGCTGCAGATCAGGATTATATCCAGTGTGAATCAGAATTGTCTTTAAAAGATCCCCAAATTGACATGAGAACTGGCAAGATGTGCTCAAAACCAATCGAGGTGGCTCAGCCATTGCCTCCTCTTTTGCAAACTGAGATCAAACAAAAAACCAAAAAAACCACAAAAAAACAGAAAGAAAAAAAAGAGAGACAGTCACATCATAATAGCACAGCACACCTTCCCTGCACCAAACCCAGAGGCTGGTTGTGTCTTTTTAAACAGGAAGTAGCAGTCATTCTATGTGGATGGGCTGGCCAGCCGGATTTGAATGTTACCTGGCATGGCATCCATGGAAATGTAGGGCTCAAAGGGAATGGCCTTCTTCCTGTTACGTGTGATTAAGAAGACGCCCAAGAATGCGATGAGGCACCTGGCAAACACAGATGAAGAGAAACAAGGCCAGAGTGAGGTTGGGAGGGATGCTTTCAAACGTGAGTAATGGGAAAAAGGGGAGAACAGGGTGGCAGGCTGCGGAGGTGGGCTCACTGCTGAGGGGCCCTGAGAGGCGGCCGGGCCTGGGATCAGCAGGAAGCAGATGCGAGATAAATAATAACAGCCCGTGCAGCCCACACAAGCCTCAATCAGAACAAATCAGGCCATCCTTGGCCAAACCCTCACCTCCACTTACCCTGCATCTCAGAACCCTGCCTTTAAAGATTTTTTTTTAAATTAAAAAGTTCTTTACGGCCTAAATTCAATCAATACTGGAGCAGAGAAAGTAAAAATTAGGAAGTCCCTGTACTTGCCCCCACTATAGGTGTATATTCTTCCAGAGTCTTTTTTTTTGTTTTTCTCTTTTCTCCAGAGCTTAGATAAACAAGCACACTTTCTAAAAACTGAGGCATAATTTACAGGCAATAAAACGCACAATCCCTAAATGCGGAGCTCGATTAATCTTACCTGTGCACACACTCGTGGGATCACCACCCAGGTCAATAGAGGAGTCATTTCCATCCCTTACCCACAGAAAGTTTCCTGTACCCCTTCCCCATTCATGCAGACCCTTCCCCAGAGGAAACCACTGTTCTGACGTCCACAGAATCGACTGGCCTGTTCTTCAACTTCTTGTGAGTTAAACAATGCAGCGTGTACTCTTCTATGTCTGACTTCTTTCGCCTGATAAATGTTTTTAAGATGCATCCACTTCATTGTGTGCATTAGTAGTTCATTATTTTTTTATTGTTGTGTGGAACGCATTATCTGATCCATTGTCTGAATATATCAGAACTTGTTTTCCACTCTCCTGTCGTATCCAGTTTGGGTATATAACGAATAAAACTACTATAAGTATTCATGTACAAGTCATTTTGTCAATATATATAACTAATTTCTTTTGGGTCTATATCTAGATGTGGAATTGCTGGCTCATAGGGTATACTATACATTTTAAAAAATGTAACTTTTTTCATTCAACGTATCCTAGACATGGTTCTACGTCAGTACCAATAGACTGACCTCAATTTTTCAAAATGGCAGTATGGTACTTAATTATACGAAGATGTGTAATTTATTTAACCTGTATTTTACTGATGGGCATTTAGGTCGTTTCCAATTATTTGCTTATACAATTAATTTAAAAAATAACAAACACCCTCATACATGTGGCGTTGCGTCCATCATTTACTTTTCCAAGATAAATGATTAGAAATGGAAAGCTGCATCAAGAAGCATGCTCATTTAAAAATTTCACTGTTATTGCCAAATTGTCCTCCCACATTAAAGAACTTCTCACACTGTGGCAGAGAGCTGGGCTCCTCATCCTCTTGCCAACATGGGACATTACCCCTCCTGTTAGGTTTTGCAAAATGATGGCATCTTGTTCAGCTTCAGTATCCAATTCTTTGATCTGAGGTGAGGGTGAGAGTCTTTCCTGCATCAAATTGTGATGTGTTCGAAATGACAAGGAGATTAAAGCCCAAAAGAGAAGAAAGGAAAAGTAAAGCCCTTTGGGGAATGAAACGCTCACCTCTGGGGACAAAGCTCCCACTGCCAGCTGCTCCTCTGGCTCTAAGGGACTGCCTGAGAGGCTGGAGCAGGGGTAGGGAGAGAGGGGCAGCCTGCCTGGAATTCGGGGCCAGGGAGCAGGATGGGACTCACCCAAGTGCAAACATGCAGACGTGCAGCACGTCCTCCCCGAGGAAGTCCAGGTAGAAGATGGCGCCTGAGCAGCAAAGAATGGAAAATGCGGGTGAGCTGTTTTCAAATCACCTACCTGCCAGTCTGTTTAGGATCTGGCGAAGCTCCCTTCCCTACAGAATACCAAAGGGGTCCAAAATACTATGACTGCACCTAGTAAGAAATGAGCAGAATGGAATAAAAGCCATTTGGGGGGAATAGACTGTCTTCTCTTTCTCCCCCACCTAGGCCCCTCTTACCTCCATCTTTTGTTTCTTAACTTTTTATTTTGAGATAATATTAGATGCACAGAAATAGTACGGAATTCCCACGTACCCTGTGCCCAGCTTCCCCCAGTGAAACGACACTATGAGCTAAACTAGAGACTTACCAGTTTTTACACACTCCTCTCCCTCATCTTTCTTTCTTTTTCTTTTTTGTTAAGTTTTTATAGGAGTATAGTTGATTTACAATGTTGTGTTAGTTTCAGGTGTACAGCAAAGTGAATCAGTTCTACATATACAGGTATCAACTCTTTTTTAGATTCTTTTCCCATATAGGCCATTACAGAGTATTGAGTAGAGTTCCCTGTGCTCTACAGCAGGTCCTTATTAGTTACCTATTTTATATATAGTAGTGTGTATATGCCAATCCCAATCTCCCAATTTATTCCTCCCCTCCCCTTTACCCCCTTGTAACCATAAGTTTGCTTTCTACATATGTAACTCTATTTCTATTTTGTAGATAAGTTCATTTGTACCTTTTATTTAGATTCCACATATAAGTGATATCATATGATATTTGTCTTTCACTGACTTAACTTCACTCAGTATGACAATCTCTAGGTCCATTCACGTTGCTGCAAGTGGCATTATTTCGTTCTTTTTTATGGCTGAGTAATATTCCACTGTATATATGTACCACATCTTCCCCCCATCTTTCTTAAGATGGAAAACCAAGGCTCCGTGGTTAAGCCGCCGGAGCTTTCTAACCTCATGAGACTGGCAGGTGTCACACCCTGCAGTGTGGCAGTGCCACAGGCCTGCCGCCCTCACCCTGCAGCCAGCATCTGTCTGGACCCACTTCACACCCCACCACCCCAACCCTGCCCGGAGCTCCTGATTCCCTGCCTGACTGCGGACTCAAGCACGGTGTTTCTATCCCTTTCAATCTTGCCTGGACCGAAGCTGTTGACCATGACTTGAATCTCTGCATGAGGTTAGCTTTCTGGCTGCTCTGGGTCAAGCCCCGCTCAATCCCTGGTCCCGCTCACGGCACAGGCCCTGGCAGGCTGTGTGCCCTCTTGTTCTAACCTCTGTGAACACCAGTTTGGGCGCCACTCGTCCAAACTGCAGTGCAAAATATATGGCTTTCCGGCTGGGCCTTCCTCAAAGGGAGGCACACTGGTTGTTACTGGTCTTTTTACTCTGAAAATCTTAGTCACCATTGCCATTTAAAAACAAACAAACAAAAAAACCCGACACACACACACACACACACACACACACACAAATATGCTTGCAGCCTCTGAAGCCACCTCAGAAAGAAAAAGAAAAAACCTATAGGGGTGGAGTAGAAGAAAAGGGGAATGTAATAAAGATGATGATCACTTACTGAGCACGTGTTATGTACATACTCATGATCTCTAAAAATTATACGGAAGAAATGTGTGGTCACTTGGCCAGTGGAGGCTGTGGAGTTAGCAGATGACGGTAAAAACTGTTAAAGAAACCTAACACAAGCAGTACAAAGTAGGGGACATTTGGACTATACATATTTCAATTCTAGGAGGAAAGTATTATTACTCCCATGTTATGAATGTGGAACTGAGGCTCAGAGAGGTGAAGTGATTTTCCTAGAGCTACACAGCTCCGTGTCTGTGCTGGGGTGCAAACCTAGGCCTCTCTGGCTCTAAATCCTGCGCTTTCCCCACAAAACCGTCTACAACTGTGACAGGCAGAACAAGTCAGCAGAATTGGCCTTCTGACAGAGGCAGCGCCCCTTCCCTCCACACTGGGGTAATGTCCCTGCTGTCAAGGTAGAAGACAGAAATCTAGCAACCACACCCTTACCTGCTGTGATAGCCACGGTAGTGGATAGAATGTAGCCCACACTGGCAATCAGAGAGGAGTCATACATCTGTGAGGCTTGACCTAAAAACCTTCAACACAAAAGCACTCTGGTCAGTGGGCTGTGGGGATGTCGAAAGGCCGAGGTGAAAGCCGATGACCGCAGGCTTGGTCTGAAAATACGAAGATGAGGCATGAAGGAATATTCCTTGGGATTATAAGGATGCCAGCCTTGTGTGTCTCCTGGGCTGGGGTCCACGCTTTGCTTCTATTCTTCCTCTGGACACACAGCCTGAGGCCCATCCCTCTCCCCGTCCAACACCTCTGACCACATAGTTCTTATCACCGCAATGCCCTTCTCACCTCTGTGTCCCCTGCATCCCCTACCCACTAAAAAGCCATTCCTGGGCCCTTAACAGTCCAAGAAACTCCTGTAGCGCTTATCACATCCTGCCTCATGTTGTAATTATTCTTTTAAACAAATTTTCTTCTTAATTCAACTCTCACTGCAATAAATATAGGAAAAAGAGAGAGTAAATTAGAGTCACTCCTAACCTCTCCACTGCGGATAAACACTCCATCATTTAGGAATATATTCTTTGTCTATTCTCTGCATAGCATTTTGGTTATTGTCGCAAAGTTCCTTACACCATAACACACTTCCCACCCAACTGTAATTGTCTGTTTACCCGGCTGTCCTCGGACCAGGGCTGTGAGCACCTTGAGTTCAGTGACTATCGCTCATGTCTCTGTGCGTGGAAGGCCCAGCACGGGCCCGGTACACAGCAGGCCTTGATGAATGTGTGATGTGTGAGTGAGAAGCTTCCCGGGGAGGGTGGGGCACCTGATCATCTTTATAAGCCCCGGAGGGCACAGCACAGAGCCTTGCATTGGACAGGGGCTCAGGGGTGATGACCAGAATCACTGTAGGACTAAGCATAGTCATACTCAGCATAATAGTAACAAAAATCATAAAAGAAGCTACTATTTACTGGACGTTATCCTGGATCCTACTAGAGCCTGCTGCGACTCTGTTAGGTAGGGGCTGTTGCTATTGTCATTGCAGACGGGGAATCTGTGTCTTGGAGAAGCTGAGGAGCAGGCCTAGAGCAGAGGGGTGAGGGGCGCGGGACGGGGAGGGAGACAGACGCCGGGGTTCCAGTCTCAGCTCCGCCAGTTCCTGGCCTCTCGCAGCAGTTCCTTACATGCAAAATGAGGATATCATTGCCGTGGGGACCAAATGAATTCAAGTTCCTGTGAAGGCAGTGAGAGCACAGCTTACACCGGGCGCCCAGGTGGCAGCGGTCACCGCTGTGTTCCCCGGAGGCACCGCTGGTGGATGGTGAGCCCCAGCGGCTGGAGTCCAGGGCCTGACCTGTCCGGGGTGAACCGGCCCCATGCACCACACTGAAACCTGCACTGTCCACCCTCCGTCCCCAGGCAGGTTTGTCACATGCTCGCCCAGGCCCCCCGCTGGGCACCGGATCTCTGACGTGAGCAAGGCCCAGGCCTACCCTCAGAACTGCTGCTTCTGAGGCAGAAACCATCACCTTGCTCTTCTACTTGGAAAGATTTCTTGAGGACAAGAAAGTTGGAGACAACTGTCTGTCTTCCACCAGGCAGACAAACAGGTGCCTCACGGGGACGGCACAGCTTCTTCTGAGGCCCCGGAAGTGGGCACCTGCCTTGGTCCAGATGGGAATCGAGGCTGCCTCTGATTGCGTGGTTCTCACATTTTGAGGCAGAGGGAAAAATACATCCACTCCAGGCTTTTCAAGCAGCACGGCACCCCTCCATGTGATAACTCAGCAAATTAGCGACCCCTCTCTCTCCACAGTGGATGCCAAACCCTGGCGACAGAACATTTGCATGTTCTACCTGCCCTACAGCTTCAAAAACAATTGTAATCGGGCCCAGAAGCTGGAAGAGACCTTTGTGGGGAAGCCCAGCAGGAAAAGAATCTGCAACTCACGCGGCTTGATAGATAGCAGTTGCCACCATGCACACGAACATCACGTAGAAGATGGGGTAGTCGAGCTGCAGGTTCCCCTGTATGGACAAGACGAGCATCCCGGCCACAGCCTTCACTGTCACCACGGTCATTGAGCCTGCAGAAGGTTAACAAGGATGTGTGGGAGCCTCAGAGACGTGGCGGGGGTGGGGGGGCGGGGACAGTTTATAAACTCAAAGGACAAAGTGACCAAGATGCAGGGAACATGGGCAGAGCCCAGCCAGTGATTTACACAGTGAGAAGATCCTATTGGCATTGGTTCTTTTGTACCCTCCCGTGAAAGCAGAGAGGAAAGCAAAACTCCAAAGGGTATTTCCAAATGCCCTTCTAAACTCTACCAAGAAAGGGTAGTGAGTTCACTCTGAACTCCAGAGTGGCAGCACTGTGTCTGGAACACAATGCAAGGTCAAAACAATCGAATGTATAAATGAACTTCTTTTGAGTATCCTTCTCACGGCAATCACAAGAAAAATGTGGTGTGTACAGAGCTCAGGAGTTTTTTCTGTTGTTTTTTTGGTCTTTTAAAATGCTTACTCACTGGTATTTTTAAAAACATTTCTTTAGACCAGAGGTCTCCACATGTTTTGGAATGCATACCCCTATGCATAGGTATATACTTTTCAAATATATATACATTTATTTATTTTAAAATTATAGTCATGTAACACTATGCTTATATGGTATATACATCATAAAAACATGTGTAGGAAATATACTTAAAAGGTGGAGATAAAAATAAATACCAGTTCTAATATTTTTTCTTCCCATACACCCACCTCATTATTGAGACCACTGCTTTACCCAGTGCTGCAGAAACGACTTCTAACTCTAAACTGTTGGATCCCCCTGCCAGAGCGGGAATTAAAAGGAACTCCCAAGTATGGTACAAATGAAGTTCCTTGTTCTGGCTGAAATGCTTTGCTTTCCTATGTTTCTCAGCGTCTGCTCATTTTGCCTTCTCCTGCCAACAGCCCAGCAGACACAGTGGCTTCTGGGCGCCTCAGCTACTTAGACTACAGTTTTCAAACATCGGCAGGCAGTTAAGTCAAGCACTTTCTCCAGGCTGTCCTTGTTGGTGAGGAGGGGGCAGAAAGGAATTGGCCAACGTGCCTCAGAACCTTCTGACCTTCCAACTCACCAGGAGAGAACGTTTTGGGACCGTGATCTTCCAATCCACTTTGCAAACAAAATCATCAAGGAACGGACCACTGAGTCATGCTGCAACAGGAATGAACCTCTACAACGTGATGCTCAGTGAAAGAGGCCAGGGACAAACAGCCACATGGTGTACGATTCCGTTTATGTAATACGTCCAGAAAGACAAATCCATAGAGACAGAAAGTAGATTAGTGATTGGCCAGGGCCTGGGAGGATGGAAAAATGGGGAGTGACTGCTAGTGGGCACAGGGTTTCTTTTTGGGGTGACAAAAATGTTCTGAAATTCGATTATGATGATGGTTGTATCCTCTATGAATATATTAAAAATCACTGAATTGTAGGGGCTTCCCTGGTGGCGCAGTGGTTGAGAGTCCACCTGCCGATGCGGGGGACACAGGTTCGTGCCCCGGTCCGGGAGGATCCCACATGCCGCGGAGTGGCTGGGCCCGTGAGCCATGGCCGCTGAGCCTGCGCGTCCGGAGCCTGTGCTCCGCAACGGGAGAGGCCGCAGTGGTGAGAGGCCCGCGTACCGCAAAAAAAAAAAAAAAAAATCACTGAATTGTATACTTTAAACAGGTGAGCTTTACGGTATGTAAACTGTATCTCAGTAAAGCTGTTAAAAACAAGAAAATGGAGCCCTGTCCTATGATGACATATCTGTGTGTTTTATGGCCTGTCGCTGGAATGGGGGCTTGCTGTTGGAAGGACAGAAGGAAACAACACACACTGGGGACCGGTGCTCATCTCATTTAATCGCCTCTCCCCCCAAGATCTGGGTGTTCTCTTAGGCCCATTTTTAGAGGACAGCGTGGCTGACACAGGGACAGTCACTAGGAGGTAGCGGCAAGGCCGCACCCACCTCTCCCTCTCCAGGAAGAAGGGGTGATTCTCACAGCTCTACTTAGTAAATCTAACTCTATGTGGGGTTACAGCCTTGCCCCAATCTGATTTAGGAGCCATTCCCCCCATTGCACCCATGCCTTTAAAAGGAAAAAAAAAAGAGAGCAAAATCAAAATCAATTCTTGCCTTTGAATCCAGAATTGTCTTAACCTCTGATAGGTCTTACACAGACCCTTAGGGGCTCACTTGTTGGAACCTGTTCCACCCCTGACTTCCCTGAAATAACCTCTTAACCCCCCACCCCTACCCTTACTCTGCTTTCTTCTTCGTCATTGTAATTGTCACTGCCCAAACTTATACTATCTATGTATTTGTCAACTCGTTTACTGTCATTTCCTCCCTCTCAAATGGGTGGCACCCTGAGGGGACGGGTGTCTGTCTGGCTCAAGAACACCGAATGAGGTCAGCAGCAAGATGGAACTGACAAGGCCTGCATCCGGTTAGCAGGGACCCAGCTCCTGCAGCCGCCGATGCAGAGGGACCAGCCTGAGCCGGCCTCCAGCAGCTCCTGGGTCCAGATGCCACAGCTCAGTAAACAAAACCCACGTTTCCTTTTGGTGCTACTTAGTGGTGGCGAAACTCAATCCCCAGGACCCTCACTTACCAAGTAACGCCACCAAGAGGAGAATCACAACAATGTTGTTGGCGTTCCTCTCCTTGTAGAAGTACAGCAGCAAGCAGAACAGAATGATCTCCACGAGCTACAGAGAGCAGCAAGGGGGGAGGTCAGCGGGGGCCACAGGCAAGACCAGGAGACCCTGGGGGGCTGGGCTGGAGTTTATGCTGCTGATTGCATCAGTCACAGGCCCTCAGAGTTGAAGGGGAATTGAAACAGCCAGTATTTCCCAAACTCCTGATACGTATCCTGCAGGAAAGCAGGGAACGCTGAATCTCTCTACTCCCAATACTGAGGAGCAGTTCACCTCGTGGTGAGGCTCCGAGGGTGCTGGGCTGGCCTCAGGTCCACCCTGTCTTGGATGGTCAAGATTCATCAGGCTGAGCTGGTGTCCCATTTCACTACTCCATGGTAACCCCCACCAAAACTGGGAGTTGGTTAAAGAGGGAGCTGCTTGTTCGGTGAGGAGAAGAGCTCTTCGGTTAAGTATATAAGTATATATACCACTTGCCTGCTAACCAAGCCTCCACTGCGTGCAGCTTGGTAGAGTCAGAAAAAAGAGGACTTCTGGAGTCAGGGAGGCCCAGTTATGAGGCCTTCTAAACTAGTTGTGTGACCTTAGCCAGGTCACTTAAGTTCTCTAAACCTCAGTTACCTCCTTTGTGAAACAGGGATAAGTGTTCTTAACTTAGAGGGCCACAATCACAGCTTATACTTAGTGAACTCATAAATCTGCCAGGCTCTATTCTAAGCATTTTATCTTTACTCAACTCACTAAATCAGCATAATAATTCTATGAAGAATCTCAAGCCAGCAAAAGGCAGAGCTGGGATTTGAACCCGGATAGTCTGGCTCCAGGGCCCATGCGCTTTCCCACTAGGCTACACTGCCTGCAGATGGGGGCCCAGTGCCTGGTGTTCAGAAGGTGCTCCATCAGTAGAATCTTACTAGACAACAGCGAGTTTGAAAACTCTGAAGTTTGAGAAGTTCCCCGCCTTTGCAGCAACAGCTTGTCCTTTCTATTCCTTAAAGGTCCAGACATCTGGCAATACTTTCCCAAGGAGTGAAGCCAGCCCCAGCCCCCAGCAAAACTAAAGCAATGGCTCAGCTCTGTTTGCCTATCCCAACCTCCTACCGAAGTTCATTTATCACAAAAACCAACGCAGAAACATTAATGGGCATTTTAAAAAGAAAAAAATTGTTAAATTCCTCAGAATTAGAGATCATAAAACACAGCTGCGTTCATTTTCCTGTTTCTTCCTGTCTTTGTCACAGTGAATACATATTTTATCTACTTGTCATCACAGTCAAAGCACAGTTTTGTGCTGGGCCGTTGTGAGTTACCGTAAACAATTTTCATGTTTTATGAAGTTGTCATCATTATCTTTAATTGTTGCAAAATACGCCATCAAGCAGATGTACAGTTACTCAGCAACACTCCCAACTGATGTGCATACATTTGGGCAGGGGGGGTGGGAGTGGCCGATCTCCCCACCATTCTTCATGACGCCTAAACGCACGCTGGGAGAGCCCTTGGCGTTCTATCGTGAGATGGCTGTATATGTGTCGGTGCCTCCTGATGGACCATGAGTTCTGTCAGCCCGTCTCGTTTAGCTTTTATACCCACAGTGTCTGGCACATAGCAGACACTCAATAAATATGTATTGAATTTGATCTGGCCAAATCTTTCCAGCTGGCAGCACTGCCCCACAGTGACGACGGAGGAAGCCAAACTGAATTGGTCACTGAGCATCCGTCACGTGCTGGGTGGACCTGACAGCCACCCTGGGTCCAGTGACCCCGCCAGTTAACGTACAGAGAAGGAGGCAGAGCATGCGGCTAAGTGCCTGGGTTATGGCTACACAGTATGCAATGGACTCGAGCCCAGGACTCTCTGAAAGAGAAGCCTGTGTTCTGGGGTTAAGCTTTTCCTGAAGAGGTGGGTCTCTGGCTCTGCCCGGCAGACACTTCTCCATGCCTACAGGTCAACGCTGGGGCTGGCTGGCGCTAGGGAGATGACACAGCCCCAACCTTGGGGGAATCTATCACCTGCCTCACGGGCAATCTGAGGAAAAAGGATGTTCGGGGCCTCTACAGCAGGCCCAGGCTGCTTGAGTCAAGGCAAAAGAGTGAACACCTTCGTTAGCAGGCTGTGGTGACACGTGAGGCCAGCCAGGCAGGCAGGCTTCAGGTCCAGCTTGGCTCTCACGGGACTCTGAGCAAGTTTGCTAACCCTGAGATCCAGTTTTCTCATCCATAAAATGGGGAGAAAAACACCTATGTTATAGGACTATCGAGGGAGTCTGAGATGTGATGAAACAAATTTTCACACACTGAGGTCTAGGGAAGTCATTCTGGCTTATACATGATTTAACTCAGATTTTATGCTAACAGGGACTTCCCTGGTGGTGCAGTGGATGAGACTCCGAGCTCCCAATGCAGGGGACCCGGGTTCGACCCCTGGTCAGGGAACTAGATCCCACATGCATGCCTCAACTTAGAGTTTGCATGCCACAACTAATGAGCCCGCCTGCCACAACTAAGACCTGGTGCAACCAAGTAAATAAATAAATAAATAAATATGGGGGGAAAAAAAAAAGATTAAAATGGAGAAAATTTAAAAAAAATTTTATGTTAACTAAAGTGGCCTATTTGTGGCCTTTCAAACATACATTGTACACCTGCTTTAATTATTAAAGAAAAGGGTACACTGACCAGAAGTAAAGAATGTTCACATTAAAAATAAATATTAAATGCCTCCCTTCATGGGATGCCAATGCTAGTACCCCTGCGATGATAAGATTCCCTTCCCAGGTACCAAGGACAAACCGACTTGCTGTGTACATGCTGATCTGTTTTTTGTTGTTGTTGTTTTATACCTTTAAGGAATGTATCCCTGACTTGTTTAATGTTCTTTGACCTGAGAAGATATAAAACTGTGCTGAAAACTGTGCTTCTCCAGAGCAGTTCCTCAGAGTTATCTGAGAGGCTGTCTCCCAGGCTATAGTCCTGAGTCCTCAAATAAAACTCCTCTGTTTACTGGTTATTTTTGTTGATAGATAATACATTAAAAAGTGTTTAACATGGTGCAGGGGGAGCAGGAATAAGCTTTACCAAATACCTTAGATATTTTCCTTGATTAGTCTATTTGTAATCAATTTAGATTACAATTAGTCAATTGTAATCTATTTGTAACCTTGATTAGTTCTGGTTGGGGGTTTAGGAGATAAAGTCTGCAGTGTCTCCCGTGTTTCTATCAGCTTCTATCAGCTGTGTGATAGCGGGCAAAAATATATATATAACATTCTTTAACTGTTAAAAATTTTAACTTTTTTTCTTACCATAACAGTTTTAAATGCTCACTGTAGAAATTTTGGGTAATTTGTAAAGACGAAGGTGAAATAAAAACACAATCATAATTCCATCTTTCAGAGACAACTACTGATGGAGTTTCTGTTTTTCTATCCAATCTTTTACAGGTAACGTACAGACCTACAAATACCTCTAAAAAAATCAAGTTATCATACTATACATGCAGTTTTAGACATTACTCAGGACACAAGTGAAAAAAAGCACTTCCCCAGGAACTACGTGCTCTCTGCGAGCGTGGTGTTCGGCGCTGTGAAATACATCATGATTCCCGTGAACCCCGTCTTGCTGGGAATTTGGGTTTCTGGTTTCTAGGACTCCATCCCCACCCCCATCATCTCAGGTGGAAGGACCGGAGGCTTCTCTCACCATGTACAGGAGAAAAGGCCAGCTCACAAGATGTCTGATGATGTTCTCGCCTGTCATCTTCTCGTGACTGTTGGGTGCGAATGTCACCAGCAAGTAGGTGCCCACGATGGCCAGACCACAGCCAACGAAGGATAAGATGTAGCGCCCTGCAGGGAGAGGGAGGCCATCACAGGGCTTACTGCAAGCGCCCGCCCCAGGCCAGCATGTGTCTGTAGGGTAACATATGGGGACCTGCTATTGCTTGAATTTTGGGTTTTTCTTTACTTGAAAAAAAACAGAGTATCTTCATGAATGTCATTTTTTTTTTTCTACTTTTTTGGCCACGCCTCAAGGCATGCAGGAACTTGGTTCTCCCACCAGCAATCAAACCCGTGCCCCCTGCAGAGGAAGTGTGGTGTCTTAACCACTGGGCCACCAGGGAAGTCCTCTGAATGTCATTTTTTAAAGATACATTTAGTGTTAAAAAATTTTTTTAGGGGCTTCCCTGGTGGCGCAGTGGTTGAGAGTCTGCCTGCCGATGCAGGGGACGCGGGTTTGTGCCCCGGTCCGGGAGGATCCCACATGCCGCGGAGCGGCTGGGCCCGTGAGCCATGGCCGCTGGGCCTGCGCGTCCGGAGCCTCTGCTCCGCAACGGGAGATGCCACAACAGTGAGAGGCCCGCGTGCCGCAAAAAAAAAAAAAATTTTTTTAATAAGATAGCATGCATACAAAAAAGTGCTCGATGAATTCTTACAAAGTGAACTCACCCACGTAACCAGCACCCAGGTCGAGAAAGGGAACATTTGTAGGACCCCCAAATCCACACTCATGTCCCCTTCCAATCACTAGCCCCCACCCCCAGGGCAACACTTTGACTCCTACCAGCACTGACCATTTTCCTGGGTTTGTACTCTATATCAATGGATTCGTACAGTACGTTTTCTTGTGTCTGGGTTCATGCAAGACTATGTTTGTGAGATTCATCTGTATCCTGGCATGTGGCGGTAGTTTCTTCATTCTCACTGCTGTACGGTGGTCCATGTGTGAATAGGATACAATTTATCATTTCTCCTGCTGATAGGCATTTAAGTAGTCTCCAGTCTTGGGTTATAACAAATCACGTTGCTACAAACATTCTCGTGCATGTCATTTGGAAAACATATGCGCGTAGTTCTATTGGGTACAAAACTAGGAGTGGAATTCGTGGTCATGGGAGATGTAGACGTCCAGTTTAGTAGGTACTGTCGAATGGTTTTCCAAAGTGGCTGTATCAATTTACACTCCCACCAGTAGCGTATGAGCAAAACTGCGTATTTTTCCTTCATTTTAGCCGTTCTAGTATTGCACTCTGGTTTTAATATGCATTTTACAAGGAACATTCTAAAGCTAGATGGGCTAGATGAAAACAAAAAACAAAAAAACCTCAAAAGCAAACCTTCAGAGCCTATGGTATGCCTTTGAAAAACTGTCTCAGCCTCTCCCAATTGGCTACTTAACCTACTCCCAAGGGAACTATCTAAATACTACCAACGCTCTACTCCACAGCCCTGTCAGATATTGTTGGTGGCCCAGGAGGCATGCTCCTGGGTGAAGGACCAGAGTCTCCTGACTCCTCTTCCCCAGGGTCCTGTCACACTCCAATTGAACCCTGTGGGGTTGGTGAAAAGCCTCTGGTTGAAGCTGAGTGAACCCAGCCCCATGCAAGCTGAAAAGGGCTGTGAGTTCTGAGCTGCACATATTGTGACCACAGGCTTCTGGATTTTTCTGTGATAGAATTAACTCTACCTGTTTCATTTCACTATCTCGAGGAAATGTGATACCATATTAAATGTCCTTTATTTTCATTCTAGGCCTCAACAGGTGTTCAAAAAACCAGTTGTTCAATTGCTCAGCGAATGAATGAACCATGGTTAAACTCAACATGGTAAGTTCTGTGCAAGTCTATTGTCTTAAGTTCTCCGTAAGCAGGGACAGGTCTTACTCATCAATATGCCTGCGTTGTCCAGCAAAGGTCTAGCACTGGGTAAATGTTTGCTGAACTTAATAGAACTCTAAGCAGGGCAGCCAGGTACAGTTGTGCAGGTTGCTCACTGCACAAGGGCAGTGAAGAGGGCTAAAATCTAGCCCATGCTCTGCTCACCAAGGCATTTGCCCACAGAACTATAGATGCCCAGAGGGGCATCTTTTTCTAATTCATATAGGGCATGCCTCTCATTCCAGGACCACCTAGCATGACCCTGGAAGGGACATAAACCTCTACACTGATCTCAGAACCAGCCCAGCCCCGCCCCTCCCCCAGCAGAATTACTACAAATCATTCTGAGTCTTTTGGTCTTTGTGGCATCATTTGTTTGCTGAGCAGTAGTTCTGCTTTTTTTCAGTGTAAGATTCTTTTCTTTTTCCACCTCCTGGTCCAATCTTGCTGTTACTCTACACCAATGATTCAGAACAGTGGTTCCCAAACGTGGCTGTGTGTCTGCAGCATCTTGGGAGCTTCTTCTCCCTGACATTTTGTGTTTAAAAACTTTCAGACACAAGGACTTCCCTGGTGGTACAGTGGTTAAGAATCCGCCTGCCAATGCAGGGGACACGGGTTTGAGCCCTGGTCCGGGAAGATCCCACACGCTGTGAAGCAACTAAGCCCGTGCACCACAACTACTAAGCCTGAGCTCTACAGCCTGCGAGCTACAATTACTGAGCCCGCGTGCCGCAACTACTAAAGGCTGCGTGCCTAGAGCCCGTGCTCCACAATAAGAGAAGCCACTGCAATAAGAAGCCCGCTCGCCGCAACTAAAGAAAGCCCACGCACAGCAACGAAGACCCAACACAGCCAAAAACAAATAAATAAAAATAAATTTATATTTAAAAAATCTTTAATAGTAAGCACCCATAGTCCCACCACCTAGGTTCTAAATTGACATTTTATTATACTTGCTTTATCCCATATCGCGATCCATTTTCTTCATCCCTCCACTCATTCATCAAGCCAGGTTATTTTTGGATACATTTCAAAGCAAGTTGCAGACTAATATACTTCACCCTGGGGAGCTTTATGAGAATGCAAATGCCCAGGCCCCAGCCCAGATTTAAAGTCTCTGGGGATAGAGCCTGGACCCACCATCATGTCACTCCTTAACTCCTTAGCATGGCTCGTAAGCCCCTGCATCATCCAGTTCCTCCATGCCTCCTTGCTCTCATGTCCTGTTTCCTCCTTTACTCATCACCCTCCAGCTACACTGGCCTTACTGATACCGGACACGCCAAGCTTATTCCTGCCTCAGGGCCTTTGCACCTGCTGCTCCTTCTACATGGAACACTGCCCACAGACCTTGGCATTGGTAGTCTCCTTAGTATCAGTTAGGTCTGGGCCCCACCTCTTCAGAGAGTCTAACCCTGACCAGTCTAGGAAAAGCATCCCCACATCCCCAGTGCCCCAACAAAAAGCATTCTATTTTCTCTGAAGCACTCGCTAAGATCTAGAATTATTTTATTTGGTTAGTTATATAGTTAACTTGTTTACTGTATGTTCTTCCCTCCAACACACATATACATTAGACGGTAACCTCCATGAGAGTAGGATCCTCATCTGTCCTACTGCTATATCTCCAGCACCTACAACAGAGGGTGGCACTCAGTAGGTAACTTCTTCCCCACTCCTTGGGTTTCTATGTGGAGGAAGCTCCAATGGACCGACACTTCTGCCTCTTGCACCATTGGTCTGCATTTCTCGACCGAAATGGAGTTAATCTATCGAAAGAATTTAAACACTCAGGCTTTGATCTTTTTTTCTCCCTTCTCTGTCCCAGGATATGTACGGCAGTAATTCTGGATAAGTGTTCCATCCTGTAAACCCAAATATTTCCTTGGGAGACTGACCCAAGGTCTAGCTGTGGGCTGGAGCGCACTGCGGGGAGAGCGTAAGCAAGTTCATGTGGCTGCATGTTCTAATCTAGCTTTTATTAGTAATAAAGCGTAACTTCTGATCTCCTGTGTTTGACTTCCTTATTTAGTTCTCACTGTTTTAAAACTCAGTTAGGGAAAGAGGGTGCCTTTTCCTGGGCCTCCTAAAATCCCAGCAATAGATGTTCAATAAATATTGATTGAATGGAATAAATGAAAGCCCATTTTAAAAAGTTGCACAGATGGTTCTGATGCGTAGCCAAGTTTGGGAACCACTGATTAAAAAACCCAGCTCTCAGGAGCCTGATGAGGGTGGGATACAGAACCACACAGGGGAGAAGGAGACAAATGATCTCTACATTGGGGTGAGCTGGTTTCACAATGAAAAAAAGCACAAGCATGAAATTAAGAACAGAGCTCCAATCCACGAACTTACTCAGAAAGTCTTTAGGTTTCCATTTTTCTTTGATGAATATGATTCCTATGATGGCGCTGGCTATAAAAAAAAAAAGCACAGGGAGAAGAGCATTGAGGCTGCCATCAGTCAAATGGAGTCCCTTCGCCAGTGCCCTCTGGGTTGGCTCATTTGCGCTGGAGCTTGCCTAAGCTCTCACTCATGCTCCCAAGAGCTGTCTCTTGTTATTAGAAACAGAGGCTCCTCTCTGAGCCTCCCTGAGGATTTCCTACAAGGAACACCGGGGGTTGAATACTTGCTGTGTGACAGGCAACTTACACAAGTTGTTTCTGGCGTGTTTGCTCTTTGAGGTGGGCACTGTTATGATTCCATGTGGAAAATGGGGACACTGAAGCTGAGAGAGGGAAAGGACCCGCTCAAGACCATGCAGCTGGCGAGGAAAGGCTGGGCTCAAACCCAGGACTGTTGGAGGCCAGGGCTCTTGCTCTTTCAGAAGGCAATGCCTACCTCTGACATTTCCCCCCTGGTTCTTTTCTTTTCACTCCCTGACTCTTCCACGTTTGCAGATGTACTCAAACTTTCTTGTGACTGTCCTAAAGGATGGGGCTGGCATTCACCGTGAAAAGACCAGGGTTACTATCTCAGGTCTGCCTCCTCTGGCTGGGTAACCTGGGTAGGTCACTTCACCTGAGAGTCAGTCTCTGAAATCGTGTGCTGGATCCAGCCTTCACCAGCCTGCTGAGGGTTAATGGTCAGGAAACCATTGGTAGCTTGGAATCAGCGACAGTGTGGGTATTTACACCCTTTACATCAGAAACATTAAAAATCAGGTCTTCTTTTTCTTCCACTTTTCTGTCCCTTCCCTTCTTCCCTCCCTCCCTCCACCTCCTCTTTCTTTTCTTTTTCTTCTTCTCTCATTCTCTCGAGTTGGTTTATCAGCATATCACTGAAAATACCTACTTCTCAGAGTCATAGGGGTAATTAAATGAGATAATATATGCAAATCACTTAGTACATGCTCAGTAACTGAGTAATTATTATTATTATTATTAAAGTACCTAAAACAGTAACTAATAAGTAATAGGTACCCAATAAATGGTGATTATTATTTTAATATTTATTTTTAATATTATTTTTCACTTGGTGACTTAAGAAACTCTAAGAGCCCCTTAATTTCTAGGGGATTATATGTGAAGTCCCATCATTATAATTCAGCCCATTTTTAAGAATTTGGTTATTTGCTCCTTATTAAAATTCAAAGACTAAGATTTAAAGTACTTAGTCATTCAGTCACATATTCCTCATTGTCAATAAAGGTTCTGAGAGCCCTTTGGATAGATGAGCAATGGGCAGAGGACAAACCTAAATATGTGTTGGGGCTGGGCAACAACACAGATGTAGAAAGCGGGCCAGATGCAAGACAGCAGAGAGAAGCTGAGATGACGGCAGACAACTTGCCTCAACTAAAGGCACTCAAATGACATTTTGAAATGATACTGGGTGGGAAAGAACACAGCATGCCTGAGGACCTCAGTCATCTTGTAGGCTGCCTGTTTACCAACCCTGGTCGAGAAAAAGAGGGGCTTTCAATAAATAGGATCAGGGAAAGCAAATAAATTTCCGCTCCCCTGCCAACTCCTAGTAATTGGTAATGACTGCCTGAAGCTCTGAGAATTCTGAGGGCCCATCCAGGCTCACTATGATTGATTAGTGATATCTGCCTTGGGTACTGCAGGGGCACATAAATGCCATGCATATGCCATCCCTGTATTGAAGAGGCCCTCTTAATTCCAGGAGGATTAAGACTCAGAATAGGATTTTCTCCTTTAAGAGCCGAGAAGAGCTTCTCGGCACTGTAATGCTTACCAGCAGGACGGAAGGAAACATTTCAAAGCAAGTTCACTGTCCCTGCTCCTATGTACAAAAAACTACTGTTCACTAATCTACTAACATCTTTTACTTAAGAAGAAAAGAATTTTTTTTCTAATTCTATTTTATTTGTGGCTTCATGGACATTAAAACTCCTTTGTCTTCCAGTTGGTTCAAACGTTCTGAAACACTGGTTCAGTGATTACAGAAATCACAGAAAAATGGCAGATGAGAAAGTTAGTGATGTTTTAAAAATGGTATCAGTTGATGTAAAAAGATCAGAGAATAAGCTGAATGTGCATTTCTTAGAGGTGCGAAATACCTGCACTCTGAAAGCTTAGTTTATCTTGACAGTGTTAGGATGAATGTGTCAAGGTTATCTTCCTTCTGCAGTAGAAATAAAAAGCAATTCTGATAAACTTTCCGAATCTTAAACAGATTCTGGAGGCAGAACGCCAGTTTGCATCCCAGCCCTGCTTCTCGCTAGCTGTGTGATTTGGGGAAAGTAATTTCACCACTCTGTGCCTCGGTTTCCTCATCTGTAAAATGGGGATAATAACAGTATCTCCCTCAAAAGGCTGCCAGGAGGATTAGAAGAATCACTATCTGTAAAGTGCTTAGAGCAAGTCCTGCTGAGTATGAAGCGCTTTGTAAGTGTTAGGCATTACTAGCAAAGCAAAAGCTGGTTTGGTGAGTCTCTTTGGTACTGGTGGTGACCTGCTCACAGAGGTAGGCAAGTCCCAAGGGAGGGGCGGGGTGGGAGCTGGGTCTTACCTATCACGGAGACGGCGCTGAGAGGCACAATCAGCGAGAGCGGGGCGAAGGCGTAGGAGGCAAACACGCCCAGCTCGCCCAGCAGCATCAGGAACAGGCCCAGCCACCATGTCTTGGTCTTGAAATAGGCCCGAGGGTCCTTGGAGCCCGCAAGGCGGATGTGACAGTACTTCTAGAAATCCGAGAAAGAATGTGATTTATCCAGATCTCCAGGAAAAAGATGCTAAGATGCACGAATCCTAAATCCACTCCCCACTTTTAAAAATAGTTTGAGGAGACCTGTCAAGTGTTTTTGGAGTTCTGACTCAGAGAAGAGTAAAGCAGTAGTGATCTAAATCTTAGGTTGCTATTCTGAGACAGTAGTTCTCAAATTGGCCGGGAAGCCTTAAATTCCCTGGGAAGCTTTGAAAAAATACATGTGCCTGGGCCTCATCCTCAGCGGGGAGATGTGGGTGAGGCCTGGAAATGTGCATTTCTGATGCACATCACAGGCAACGAGCAGTCTGGGGTGGGAGCCATGATCTAAGGACCCCCACTTTAGCCTGGCCCTTGGGTTGACTTTTCCCTCTAATAGCAATGCCCAGGAGTCCCCGTGTTCAGTGTGCCCACTTGGATACACTCCTTTCTGTAGAGATGCTGGCTGCTCTGCTGGGCAGCCCTGTGGGTGCTAGTGGACCCTGCTCTCCCTCGGGTGGATACTTGGCCCAAGCATGGACAATATTCCTGGTTCTGGACATGTGAACTTGGGACACAGACCCTGAGGCAGTGACTAAGGAAAGCCAGAAAGGCATGTTGACTTAGAGGGTCAAGGCTGCCATGTGGGGAGGATCTTGATGAGGGCTGTACAGAAGCAGATGCATAAGCAGAGGTGCTGGTCTGCAGAGAGAAGAGAGGGAACCACATAAGGAGCTAAGAGACCATGCAGCCTCGGAAACACACAGAAACACACATGTGTGTGTATGTGGAAGCAGAGTTCACGTGCCTGCTCCAGAGGAGCAGAGCGGCTCGCCGAAGCTGGAAGCTGTGCAGCGCTGGGGGAAAGCGTTGGCCAGTGCGCTGTGGGATTTGTCCTGCTGGCAGGTGTCAAGTCTTGGACTGGGTTTCCCAGAAGCAGTCCCTGAAACAAGGGCTGGGGAGCAGGGAGTTGATTTGGGAGGTGATTCCAGGAAGCATAAGTCAGGGAGTGGAAAAGTGAGACAGGGAAGGGAGGAGGACCAGTGAAGGGTGCTTTCACGGTGAGTTAGTGCTTTGGGCAACTGGGGCTCAGTCCTTCTGAGAAACCCTGTGAACTCCCCTCAGAACCATCCTACCCAAGGACGGGGGCCTGGAGCATTTATCCACTGACTCCCATCCCCCACTGGTTGAAGGCTGCCCCGGGGCATTAACAACCGCCACCAGCACCCAACACACACAGCTGGCTTCCCAGCTGCACCTGCAGCCAGTGGGGCCAGTTCCCATGGCGTCGTCAACTGGCTCTAAACCACAGCTGCCTGTGAGCTCAACTAGGCCGAGGAGTTATGGGGCAGGGCGTACACAGCAGATGCTCCAAGGCACCCCCCAGAGACTTTTAAGTAACGGAGAGCACTGTCTTCATAGTTGAGGGGTGATGGGGGATGAAGCAGGGACAAAGAATCAAGAGAGATTCTGGAACAACCTAAAAGGTATTGTCCCAGCCCTGGGATGGAATAGGCAATGTCCCCCAGAGAGGAGGCAGCCGGGCCTGCACCAGATACCCTGGCTATCAGCTGTATCTCTGCCCCAGGCAGCGCTGGTGACTGAAACGTACCTGGAGGTTAAGTGCAATGCTGACCACAAGGTGTCCGAAAATCGCCAAGAGGGCACCGATCAAGTTTTCCTGTAAGGAAAGTTCACAGGAGCAGACATGAGCTGGGCCTAAGCCAAAGGGCCCCAGGACACATTTGAATCCAACTGTTTGTTGTCCCAAAACAAAACCAACAACATCCATCACAAAGCCACGCCCCCCCAGACAATCTACTGGAATTTTTCTACCTGAGTTTACTCTGGCTGCCTTGCTGGTTTACAGAACATGGCCTGCAATGGGGCACTACCAGAAAGCACCATCCTTTGTCTTCCAGTCACAAGGACTTGATAAGGCCTAAATCTGCTCTTCCAGTCCCATTAATGTATTGACTTGGTATGGTCTTGCGCAGAAAAGCAATGTTCAGAAATCAGAATTTACAAGAAAAACACAGGCAGGGATACTATTTGCCATCTAATCAATGGAGTCTTCCTATTCCCAGAGGGGTCTCAGTGAGGCTCCTTTAAGTGGCAAAGTTGCTTAGGGCACTTTTAATTATTTAATTTATAAAAATTTAATTTACGTCACCTTAAGAATGAGGTTCAGATTCCTTAGCACGGCATTTTTTTTTAAACTTTATACAATGATTCCCAAAGTATATTCACTGTAGAATAATTAGGAAATATAAATGAAAAGAACAATAATGCAAAAAAGATAAAAAGCCACCTGTCACTCTAAAACCCCCAGAGATAGTTACTGCAAACATTTTGATTTTTGTAAAAATTTTTTTCTGTCCATGAATTTTGATGGCAATGGCAATGTTAATTTGTTTTTATAAAAATAATACTATAATTTGTTTTATAACCTGTTCCTTTACCTAAGATATTATAAATACATTCTCTTGATAGGCATATATAATTCACCATTTTTAATAAGTGTCAAAATAACTTACCATTTGGATGTGCATTTCTATCATTGCTTCTGTATTATTGGATATTTAGGCTATTTCCTTTTTTAAAAACAATGCTGTGATCGAACATCCTAGTTCATGCATTTTTGTGCATTTATGAGGATTAATCCCTTGGGATAAATTCTTAGAAGTGGGACTGCTGGGTCAAAGCGTACATGGCCCAGCATTTAAACCACACTATGTTATGTGCTCAACACACCCTCCAGCATTATCCCGCTAAACACCAAACGAATGCATCATTTAAACCAAATAGGAATCCTCTCTTCCCAGCATGGGCTTCCCCAACTCCTCCTTTGCTCAAGAGTCTCCCCCTGGGCTTCCCTGGTGGCGCAGTGGTTGAGAGTCCGCCTGCCGATGCAGGGGACACGGGTTCGTGCCCCGGTACGGGAAGATCCACATGTCACGGAGCGGCTGGCCTGTGAGCCATGGCCGCTGAGCCTGTGCGTCCGGAGCCTGTGCTCCGCAACGGGAGAGGCCCCAACAGTGAGAGGCCCGCGTACTGCAAAAGAAAAAAGAGTCTCCTACCACTGGTGCCCTCCCTTGTGAAATCTGCATGTTCTTCAAGGCCTGGGCCAGGCCCAAGTGAACCAGCAGTGAACATCAAGACAAACTCAGTCCAGTAAAAATTAATTAAAAAAAAAAAAAAAAAGACAAACTCAGTCCTTCAATCCCTCTGGAAGGACAGATAATCAGCAAGCAGTAAGGGGGATAAAGTCAACCCTCCATCCCGCCTTCTGCCCCCCTCTTCCCTTCCCTCTCCCAGAGTGCAGAGGGCCCATAGCGCTGAGGGGGCCTTCCCAGAGAAGGGGCAGTCACTGTGGGACAGGGCGGGAGGAGGGCAGAGGAGGCCTGCTGATGGAAACCACCGTGGCTGTCCCCGACTTCTCCCCCTCAAGGTGCAGTGCTGCAGCATAAAGGAAAGATGCTGAGCTGGGTGCCCGGAGACCTGGGTTCTGGTCCCAGCTCTGCCACCACATCGCTACTTGGCCTCAGACAAGTCCCTTTTCCCTCACCAGGCTTGTGTGTCCTCTCTGGATGACCTAAGTGCTGGCCCAGACGACTGCTAAGGGCCCCTCCGGCTCTGACCCAAGCTTCTGGTCACAGCCAGGCTGCTCAGAGAAACCAAGTGATGATCATGCCAGACAAGAAACCGACCAATTCATTTCACATAAAATAGCTCATTAACTGGAGGTTATTGGGGGCATCTCCTGGGACCCAAAGGAGCTGGCTTCCACTGCTTCCCAATACGGCTCTCAGCCTGAGCTGCACTGGCTCGGTCCTTCTCCATCTCCACTGTTTCATGTTTTTTGGTTTCTTTTCAGTTAAACAGAAGCCATGTCCTTCCTGCAGGATCACAGAATCTCAGAGCTCAAAGGGTCACTGGAGGCCAATCAGGCCAGGGTTCCCAGATATGTCAATGGGGTTCCAAGGCAAAAGGCATCATGTGGTTAGATAAGTTTGGGAAACGCTGTATCCTCCACCCAGTGCACTGGCCCAGTAGAGGCTCTCAGCGGCAGTTTCTCCTTGTCTAGCTCAGGTTTCCCAAACCCATTTGGCTCTAGAGCTCTTAGCTTAGAGTCCATCCACTGGCATCTGTGGTACCTCTGCGATTCTCACCAGCCTGACATTTTAATCACTTTCCTTTCCTTCTGGTAACAGCACCCCGATTGTGCTGTGGAGGACTCCCTGCCTTCCCCCTGCCTCCTCATTGGATACTCCTGTTGGGACTGTCATTCAAAGGGCTCCAGTCTCCTCTCCTAGACAAGGATGGGCCTGTGACCCATGCTTGATCCAAGCCAGGCTGGTCAGAAGCTCTCTTTCTGGGGTCCAAATCCTGGACTGAGAAACACAGAGGCGGAAAAAGGCTGGTTCACTCCTGCCCGAGGTGAGGTTTAGCCAAGTCAGACCCCTGGAGCCTTCCTGGTTCCTGACCGTCTGAAGCTGGCTTCTCCAGCTCTTCCTTCTTTTCTGGAAGCAGTCCCACAATCTTTTTTGCTTACGAGCTAGTTTCTGTTACTTGCAACCAAAGAGCCTAATAGAGTCAAGGCTTCACAGAACAGAGTTTGGGAATATGTTTATTATTATTAGTCCAACTCCTAGTAAATATGTGTCCCCCCCCCTCACTTTTATAGACAAAAACGGGGTAGCTTTTACGGACAAAAAAGGCTATGTGCATTTACTTTGCTTTTCAAAAAAAATTATATGTGTTATTAAAATAACAGATTCCCTGATCTGGTTTTTTGGAAACAAAACCTTAACAAGGAACTAGGTTATTCTTATAAGTCTAACAAACTGCACTTATGAATATAAGGAAACTGAAATTCTCTTAAATACTTCAGCTGTTCACATACAATAAAATTCTCTGACAACTTTAATTTTAAAAGACTTCTGCTTCCAGTAGGACGGCGTAGACATTCTTTTTCCTATGCTTCCTGCTACGCACAACTAAAAACCCTGGACATTATATATAAAACAAACATAAGAAGACTGAAAGGTGGACAGAAGAAGGCAGACAGGCTAAGGACCTTGGGACCTGAGGAACCACATGGTAGGGAGTTCCTTGAGTTTTCTTTTTGCCTCATGTATCTCAGACTTGGAGCTGAAGAAACTGGCAACTTGGAAATAGCAACAGGTGTGACCCAAAAAAGCCTCAAGAAAAGCCTGCACTCTAGTCGGAGAACAAGGAAAGGAGCAGCCAGGCCAGGCAGAAGGCTTTTAGACAATAACTGATGTGCTCCAAACACTGCCGGAAAAAAAAAAAATGGCTCCACCCTGCCCCTGCCAGCATAAGCCAAGTAGGGAGCTTAGATTTCCACCCTTTGGAGGCTGTAACAAAGCAACCCAACTCCCCTGCTGGGACTATCAGAGAAAGCCAAGTGGGGAGCTGAGGCCAGTGATGAGGTGGTACCCCCCTCCTCCCAGTGTCAGTAGAGACCACAGGGAGACTAGACCTCTGCCCCACCTGGCAGTCACGAAGCACCCCTTCTCCTCCCCACTGTGGTGGTATCAGAGGAGGCCTGGTGGAGAGGCAAGATTCTTCCCACTAGACTTTCACAATTATATTGTCCTGAACTTGGGATTATCATTTGTAGTAAACTGCAGTGACAGCTGCCAACAATTCCTCCCATCCCTGTATGCATGCGCTATGACTCCCCTCAAGAGGTGGGGTCTTTTCCCCATCACTTGAACCTGGGTTGGCCTGTGACTTGCTTTGGTCAACAGAATGAGAGAGAGGTGAAGTCCTGGGATTTCCGAGCTCAGGCCTTACAGGTTCTGCTTTTGTTCGGAGGGGAACCCAGCCACATGTAAAAAAGCCCAGCCTGCCCCCCAAAAGAGAGAGAGGTCATGTGGAGGGCCAAACAGATATATGAGTGGGCCCAGTCAACACCAAGAGAAGAGAGAGGCACAGCCACCTCAGCCCACTCCAGCTGATTTAACCCATCCCAGCTGAGGTTCCAGACATGAGTGAGGACCTCTTGGATTCTCCAGCTCCAGCCCCAGCCAAGCAAAGATGCAAAGGCAAGCTACCACTGCTTTTGAAAGAAAAAAAGAATTCTTTCTTTTTAAAAAATTTTACTGTGGCATAAACACTTAACATAAGATATACCCTCTTAACAAATTTTTAGTGTGCAATACAGTATTTGTAACTGCTGGACGATGTTGTCCAGCAGATCTTAGAACTTATTCATCTGACGTAACTGTGACTTTACGCCCAATGATTAGCAACTCCTTACTGCCACCCTCCCTGCCAGCCCCTGGCAACTGCCATCCTACTCTCTGATTCTATGAGTTTGACTATTTAAGATACCCCATGTAAGTGGAATCATGCAGTATCTGTCCTTCCGTGACTGGATTATTGCCTTAGTCAATTTGGGTTTTGCTATAACAAATACGATAGACTGGTGGCTCAGCAGACTTCTATTTCTCACAGTTCTGGAGGCTGAGAAGTCTAAGATTAAGGCGCTGGCTGATTCTTTTCCTGGTGAGAGACTCTTCCTGGTCTGCAGATGGACACCTTCGTGCTGTGTCCTTACATGGTACAGAAAGAGAGCTCTGTCTTGTCTCTCTTATAATGGCACTAATCCCATTTATGAGGTCCACCATCACAACCTAATTACCTCTCAAA